TGATGAGACACTATCTCATTTCAGATAGGCTTCAGAAGATCTCACAGGGGTGGAGACTTGTTTCAACAGGCCACAAGTGAATGCAATCTCTTTGGTATCGCTAAGACAACAGAGGGTCTCCTTTTAAGGTGGTCTGGAATTTGGGGATGCCGGGGTGGCTCAGCTGGTGAAGCATCTGCCTTCAGCTCAGGTCCTCAGCCCTGGGATCACCAGTCCTGGTCAGCAGGGAGGCTGCTGCCCCCTCTCCTCTCAGCCTTTGCTTCTCCTCCCTCCCTCCACTCATACTCTCTCTCCCTCTCAAATAAATCAATCAGATCTTTAAAAATAAATAAATAAAAGCTCCGGAACTTGGCAAGAATATGGAGCAACAACGAAAAGCAAGGGATTTGTGGGACGGTTGCTGATAATTGAAATCTTGTGAAATCAATCCGGAAAGAGGACAAGTGGGATTTTCTAGAGCTAGAGGGAGAAAAGGCTTACATCTGCATTTCTGCCTACCCTCTGGCACACACATCTAAAGGCTTTGCTCTGTAGACCGTATTGTTGGGTCTCTTTTCTGCACAGCGAATGTGATCTGGGCCATGGTGAGGAGCCTGGACACCCAAGTTTGGTAGAGGGACCTGGCTCTGCTCTGCCATTCCCAGCTGTGTGACCCCAGGAAATGACTTCCCAACCCATCGGTTGCTCCATTTGAAAATGGTACTAGGAAGAGTGCCCAGCACATGGGACTAAATGAGACCCAGTCTAAAAGGCGCTTTGCAAGAGCCTAACACAGAAGGTGGTCAAGAATCAGTGGCTGGTGTGGTTGCCTAAAATCACGTTATTATTTGTAGTTGTGTAAGAAAATGTGTATTAGAAGGAGGTAAGGAAATGTGTTTTATAAGGTGTTAGAAAGGGAAAGACAAAAATATAATGCTCTGAAATTTCAAACTTTAAGGGATTCGAGAAATAGAGAGCAGAGAAAGTATATGAAGTTTTGTGCCATGTGAACTTTTGTGCTTCTCTGCATTAAAAAAAAAACAAAACACTGATTTTTCAAAAATCAGATTTTGTGTAAGGATAGAGCATTTCTTTAATCAAAGGAATAGAGGACGAAAAAGAGCACCAGAAAAAGAAATCATTTCCTTCTTTGTGAAACAAGCATAAGGCATGCTAGGCAAATAGTGTCCTAGGGGAGGAGCTGACCCGAGAAACATCTCTGGAGAAGTACAGGGCATTTCCCGGAGGAGGAAAGGGAGAAGCAGGGCTTTGAACACAGGAGCATTCGTCAGAGACTTTATACACAAAAAAAGAGAGGCAGAGAAGGGGATTCTTTAAAGAAACACATCTACAGAGGTACAAGCTTAGACACCAAGGACCTCCAGGTGATGGTATGAACTTAAAAAAATAGAGCTGATCCCTGAAAGCAAGATTTAGAGATTACTGGTTTGAACACTGTAGGATCTAAAAGCAAGAGAGTAAAGGTGATTACTGGAGTATCAAAAATTCTCAGTAAAAGCCACTGGGGACAGTTTATGGGGAAACCTATGGAACTAAGTCAAATTTCAGCATACCAATGAGGTGGTGTCAGGCAGATATACATGAAATCCCACATGCCACCGTTTATTCCATTACCTTCTACCCCTTCCCAGGAAATACCAGGAAGGGAGAAACCTTCCTCATCTCCTTCCCTCCTGGAAAAGCTTATGTTAGAATCACTTTCCAAATCTCAAGGCTATACTGGATTACAAAAAAGCACAACAAAGAAACAAAGTCAAGCTTAAAAATAAAAACATAAGACTATCTTGATTTTAGCTTAGGTGGTTCACAAAAGCACAAAAGACACAGAATGCTTAGCCTTTCCCAAGGCAAAGGACAAGAACAGGAAAGAATATTGCACACCAGGGGCAGTCTTGAAGTACAGAATCTTAGACTGTGATGATATAAGCACATGTTTAAAACCAAATCATTTCCGAGAAGAAACTGCACAAAGAGAAACGTTGCATTGGATAATAACTATAATTACTACTTTTTAAAAAAGGGTCTATCAGGGCTCCTGGCTGGCTCAGTGTGTAGGGCATGTGACTCTTGATCTCGGGATCATGAGTTTGAGCCCCACAGTGGGTGTAGAGATTATTTTAAAACATAAAGTATTGGGGCGTCTGGGTGGCTCCCCAGGTGGCTACCGGGGTAGAAAATAATTCTTAACACAGGGGAAGGGTTTGCCCATTTTCACTACTGAGTTTCTCGATCACATTTAGAAAAATGAGGGGGATGGGGGCGCCTGGGTGGCTCAGTGGATTAAGCTGCTGCTTTAGGCCCAGGTCATGATCTCAGGGTCCTGGGATCGAGCCCCGCATCTGCCTCAGCATCCCTGCTGAGCAGAAAGCCTGCTTCCCCCTCTCTCTGTGTCTGCCTCTCTGCCTACTTGTGATCTCTCTCTCTGTCAAATAAATAAATAAAATCTTAAAAAAAAACAACAAAAAACGAGGGGGCACATAGGAACATGTTCTGGACTCACTCTCTGAAGTTAATGAGTAAGTTGTGAATAAAAGTAGCGCTAGAACAGAGGAGGGCAGGTAAAAGGGACAAGGCTTCAGCCCGCAGTTAGGGATAGAGGCACGGAGCATGAGTCACCTTACAGCATTTATCTGTCAGCCCAAGGAGAAAAGAACCAGCCTGGCCTGATGGGTACCATAAAAGGCGAGGCAGAAGGAGGGAGAGGATGCATGAAAGATACCCTTTTAAGAGGAACACAGATCCCATGAGAGCTGCCAGAGACATTATCCCGGTCTTCTACCACCGAGATCTGGTAAAAGAAAAGGCCCTTGTGCTTCTGAACATAAGCAGAAATGTACAAAAACAAAGCCTTGTAAATTTCTAAAGCAGCTCTGTGTAGGCAAAATAGTCATAATTTAATGAGGAAACAAAGCAGAGTGATCAGATGAAAACCATGCAGTTGAAACATGCAAGTGCCAGGGAGTATGTCCCTGTGAAGAACCAGCACTGAAAGAAGTGGTGAAGTTTAACACAACTCAGCTGAACACGAAGTAACTTTGTAGGACAGCTGGAAACATTTACATTCTTGTTGGGTACTCAGCACAGATGTGTACGAGGCGCGCCATCTGCTGGCAAGATTTGGTACTGCTATTTGGAAAGACGCCTTAAGGGAGGTGGGGGGATTCTGGCTGAGGATAGTTTAACCCTCTTTTTCTGGACATTAAGTTGTCGTATCCTAAGTTAGGTTTCAACAGATGCAACAGATATCAGATCTTGGACCTCCGATTTGCTTATTTTCTGTCTTACAATACAAAATAGAATACCTACTTCTGGGTGGGAAGAAATTCTGGATGGCCGGCCCTCCCAGTGATTGCTCTCTTCCTTCTCTCATTACATAAATGGAACCACACAGTATGAATTCTTTGGTCTGGCTTCTTGAACGACACATTTTGTGTGAGAGTCATCCATGATGGGAAGCAGAGGAGCAGTTTGATCATTTCCTTAGTACGAACAGATCACAATTTTATCTATTCTGCTTTTGATGAACAGTTGGGTTGTTTCTGATTCTCCGCTATTACAAATAATGTAAGCTTTGGACATTCTTGGCTGTCTTTCGGTGAACATATGTGTGCATTTATGTTCTATTTATGGGAAACTGCTATGTCATAGAGTAGATGAACATTCAGATTTTGAAGATAAAGCCAGTTTTCCAAAGCAGTTATACCAAATATATTCTAAATGACAACATATGAGAAAGTATCTGAGACCCTGACATCCTTACCAACACTTGATATTATCAGTCTTTCAAAAAACTTTAGCCAACCTTACGACCCAGCAATTGCACTTCTAGGTGTCTACCCCAAAGATACAGACAGTGAAAATAAGGGGCACATGCACCCCAGTGTTTATAGCAGCAATGGCCACAACAGCCAAACTGCGGAAGGAGCCGAGATGCCCTTCAACAGATGAATGGATAAAGATATGGTCGATGTATACAATGGAATATTACTCAGCCATCAGAAAGGATGAATACCCACCATTTGCATCAACCTGGATGGAACTGGAAAAGATTATGTTAAATGAAATAAGTCAAGCAGAGAAAGACAATTATATAGTTTCACTCCTTTGTGGAACATAAGGAATAGCGTGGAGGACCACAGGGCAAAGGAGGGAAAACTAGATGGGAAGAAATCAGAGACGGAGACAAACCATGAGAGACTCTTGACTCTGGGAACCAGATGGAGGGTTACAGAGGGGAGGGGGGGTGGGGGGATGGGGTGACAGGATAATGGGTATTCAGGAGGGCACGTGTGGCAATGAGCACTGAGTGTTATATGCAACTAATGAATCATTAACACTACACCAAAAACTAATGATGTATTATATGTTGGCTAACTGAACATAATAAAAAAAAAAAGATTAAAAAAAATTTAGCCATTCTAGTGGAGCTGTAGTAGTAGCTCATGACTTTTATTTTCACTTCCCTGATGACTGATGAGGTAGAACATTTAGCATGCTTATTAGCTATGTGGGCATCCTTTTTCTGTGCAGTCACTTGTCTCTGTTTTATTGATATATAGCAGTTCTTTACAGATTCTAGATACGAGCTCTCTCCTAGTTATGCATATTATAAATATCTTCTTCATCTCTGTGGTATGAAATACTTGGTGATTTAAACACTGAGGAGGGGGTGCTTGGGTGGCTCAGTTGGTTAAGCGTCTGCCTTCAGCTCAGGTCGTGATCTCAGGGTCCTGGGGGGAGCCCGCTCCTCCCTTTCCTTCTGTGCTCTCTCTCACACCAATAAATAAATAAAATCTCATAAAAAGTAAAGTGTCATTGATGTACGTGCCTTGGTTGTGGCTGCTGTGACATGACCATGGTCCTCTTTTGCTTCTGGACAACAGCCACAGGGAAGCCACGGACACAGCATCGTGGAAAAGCTCCTTCTACCTGAAGAAGATTCTTCTGGCAGAGAACCCCTGGTCATCGTGTATTCAAAATGACCGAAACTGGAAACTTACTGTGCAGATGACAATTTGATCCGTGCTTGGATTTCTATCCATTCCTCCTTTATAATCCTTCCACACTGCAGCAGCTCCTTTGCAAGTCGCTCTGCCTTCGACAAATTCTCCGAAGCTTCCTTAAATCTGGGCTATGTTCAGGAAACTTCACACATGGTTCTAGATTCTGGGCCCCCAGTTCCTGGACATCCTTGGCTCTTAAACTTCCCATCACCCTTCCTGAACCACCAGTCACTTTTTGATTTGGCCTTGAGAATAAAGGGGTGCCTGGGGGGAGCTCAGTGGGTTAAGCATCTGCCTTTGGCTCAGGTCATGATCTCAGGATCCTGGGATCGAGCCCTGCTTCAGGCTCTCTACTCAGCGGGGAGTCTGCTTCCCCCTCTGTACCCTGCTCATGCTCTCTCTCTCTCTCTCTTGCTCTTTCTCTCTATCTCAAAGAAATAAATAAAATCCTAAAGGAAAAAAAAGAAAGAAAATTAAATATAATCACTACAGTGGGCATTTCTAGGTGGAAAGATTAGAAGCAAAAGGATACTTTTGAAGGGAGAGTAAGGCTCTCCCCATGGTATGGAACAGCTCAATCGAACACTTGAAAACATCTGTGTTGTCGTTATAGGGAGGCGCAATGGAGTTAGTAAGGATTTCTTTGGCTTTTTCTGCATGTTGCCTTGCTTGCGGTGACAGTCCTGCGGACAAAGAAAAAGAGGTCTCAGGTTCTCTCTCACGTCAGTGGGACGGGACTAGAGTTATCTCTGGCTGGGAAATTGAATGAGGTCTCCTTCAAGCATTGGCAAGAGACACACAGAAATGGATCAGGACAGCGTGAAATACTGTCCCGACTGTAAAAACCAAAGGAGTGGTTTCCACCGAGTACATAAGACCACTTTCTCCCCAAATGGCCTTTCTAGAAATAAACAGAGTGAGCGGGAACTGAACAACTCTGAAACCTCACCAATATCAGAGATACAATAAGTTCTAAATAATTATAAGAAAACAAAAGGAATGCAAGGACTATAGCATTCTGGGCAGGAAATTAGATACTCATGAATTTTTTAATCCTGGCTTTGTGACAACGGTCTTTAATGAAATACTAAAAATTCTAATTCTTCTGCTTGTTCATCTCTAATCATAACTTCAGAGATGTATTTTAATGTAGTACAAATACAGTGACAATCTACAAAAACTTACAAATATGATTCCAATGACTGAATGGGCTAATGTGCTACAATCTCTTATTTGTACAACGTTATTGACTAACATGAAACAAAATGGAACAAAGAGAAAAGTAATCACTACCAAGCATGAATTCCCCAGTGCACGCCAGAGTTCCTCCATAGGCTTATTAACTTGTGGTAAGGGTGACACTGGGGGTCACGGGTTAGGTTTCAGGGCTTTTCGCCTCCCCACACCCCTATCCTCCTCCCCCACACCAGCATCCTCTCTTCCACCCACATCCATACACCTTTGGTCTTATATTTTTCCATCGTATGAAATTATATCTCAAATCTCGAAAAAAAAAAAAGCTGTCAAAAATATGAAATTAATTCTGTTCCTGTGTCTATAAACAGAAGACTATATTTTCTGATGGAGAAAATCCAGGGTAGGTTCTCCATGTGGGAACGCGTAGAGAATTTTGTCTAATTTTTTTCCGTTTGTTTGTTTTAATGTTTAGTTTAAATTCAATTTAATTAACATATACTGTATTATTAGTTGCAGAGGTAGAATTTAGTGATTCATCAGTTGCATACAACACCCAGCGCTCATTACTTCAGAGAATTTCATCTAATTTTTTTAAAGCACACATGTAATCAACCTACGCGAAATTTACTAGTGCCAATTACGCATGCGATATGACAAAAATAATGGTGTACCGTATTACCAACTTCGGTACATTCCCTCAAGGAACTCAGTCTACCCGAGGCCGTGTGGGTTGAGGTTTGAGAACACTGGCTTCTGATATCCAAGTGCCCAGAATGAGTTCCCTGAACCACCACTTATTCTGAAGCCTCAGCTTCCACAACTATAAATAGTGATGATAAGATTATGCCCCGTATAGGACTGTGATGAACAATGAATGAGAACATGTGTGGGAGATGGTTAGCATGGCCCCGGCTTTCAATAAGACCTTCATGAAGAGTAGAGGCTGCTTTCGTTCTAAATTGAAAAAGAAAGACTATCATGTAAAAAGGTAGTGGGCTGTGGAAGAAAAGCATCATTTGAAATCCCAGATGCCAGACCACTAGCACTGGCGTGCAAAATCTGAGGTCTGAGTCTTAGATCATCCACTTACTAACAATGTAAACTGTGGTAAGCTATTTCAGCTCCCCTGTTCCCTTTGAGTCTAAAATTATAGGAAGGGGTTAGGGTTTGTTTTCTTTTTTTTTTTCTTTTTAAATATTTTTATTTATTTATTTATTTGTCAGAGAGAGAGAGAGAGAGAGAGAGAGCACAAGCAGGCAGAGAGCACAAGCAGAGAGAGAAGCAGGCTCCTTATTGAGCAAGGAGCCCAATGTGGGACTCGATCCCAGGACCCTGGGATCATGACCTGAGTCAAAGGCAGCAGCTTAACCAACTGAGCCACCCAGGCCTCCCAGGGGTTAGGGTTTGAACTAGATGATCTCCAGGGTCCGCTCTGGCTCCAACAATCTTTGATCTAATAGGTGGGACCAGTCGATAATCAGATTTAGCCAAATGTATTGGGTGGTAATTCTGTGCTGAGCATTGCAGTGTTTTCCATTTCTTGTTATTTTATGTATTCACTGGTCAATCGTGGCAAGTTAAAGTGCCACCATCATCATTATCACTGCTTTTCAGTTGAAGAAAGGAGTGTGGAGACGTACTCTTTACACCTTGTCCTAGGACGCCCAGTCAGAATGGAGAGGACATGCTATCCTGTTGTTTTTGCCCTCTCTGCCTCCATCCCTCTTCCTGTTTTCTTTTGGGGACACCTGGGTCCCTGCACACTCCGTTCATGCAATTTGACCAAGGCCAGCCTGTCCCCCAGGATCCAGTGGAGCCAAAAGGCAGATCTAGATCTAGCCCATCAGACTATTCCTCGCTCTTGACATACCATCCAAGTCAGCCCAATTAGAACCCCCAAACCCTGAGATTTGGGTGGAAAGATGTTCTTTCCACCCAAAAAGAACATCTTTCCACCCAAATCTCAGGGTTTGGGGGTTCTAATTTCCCTTTTCTGAGGGAAATTTAAAGCTTCGCAAGCCTTGCTGCTGTCATGTGGGCAGAGCCTGGCTAAGCCTGAAGTCCACACAGAGAGAAACAGAGCCGAGCGGTGGGATAAGAGAAAGACACAGAATTGATGACACTGTGTGAACTCCCGGATCCGGCTAAGTCTACAGCAAGTTTTGGCCTTGGCTTTTCAAGCTGTATGAGCTGATACATTACCTTTTATTCACTGCCAGCTTGATTTAGTCTCTTGGTTTGTGTATTTTTTGTGGGGGAGGAGAAGGGCCATGTATAGGCAAGAGATTCTCCGTCAAAACAAAGGTGGATGGATCTTATTTTAGGCCCCTACTTCACTGGGCCCCTTCTACAGGGCCTTCCAAGCTAACAGATTCTCTCCCACGAACCCTACTTTTAAGATCATAAAAAAAGGTCCTCCAAAAAAATAAAACAAGATGAAACCAGAGAGGGAGACAAACCATAAGAGACTCTTAAATCATAGAAAACAAACTGAGGGTTGCTGGGGAGGAAGAAGATGGAAGGATGGGGTAACTGGGTGATGGCCATTAAGGAGGGCAGGTGATATAATGAGCACCAGGTATTAGAGAAGACTGATGAATCACAGGCCTGTGCCTCTGAAACCAGTAATACATTATATGTTAATTAATTGAATTTAAATGTTTAAAAAAGAGTCCTCCAAAGTCATCCAAAGGGCTCAAATCTTTCTTCTCTTTTTATAGATCATAGAAAAAATCTGGGGCTCCTGGGTGGCTCAGTGGGTTAGGCTTCTGCCTTTGGCTCAGGTCATGATCTCAGGGTCCTGGGATCGAGCCCCGCATCGGGCTCTCTGCTTGGCGGGGAGCCTGTTTCCCTTCCTCTCTCTCTCTGCCTGCCTCTCTGCCTACTTGTGATCTCTGTCTGTCAAATAAATAAAATCTTAAAAAAAAAAAATCTCACTGACTCTTTCTGAAAGGAGAGGGCTCTTCAATGTGTGGACAGCAGACAATTCAAGAAAGCCTAACGAATCCTTCCAGGCAATTGTGAGTCACATTTGCATGGAAGAGCAGAAACCCAAGGAGTGATCCTCCCGGGTCTGCGAGGAACTCACCTTTCAGCTGGAGGTAGCCCTGAGCCAGATTGACGTGTGCCTCTGCCAGTTTCCAATGGGAGTTGCCATAGCAAATTCTCGTCAGTGCGACACAGCGCACCAGCTCGCGGACTGCCTGTTTATACTGCAATGGAGAGAAAATGGGTTTTAGCAGTCAGACAACCGAAAACACGGAGTCAACCTGCACTTCAATTCCGTGTGTATTTCCCGAGTGCCTCCTGAGTGCTGGACATGGTTGTAAGAACTTGGGGTCCATCAGAGAACAAAACAGGCAAAGATGTCTTTGGGGAGGGGGGGCTGTTCATCGAGTGGGGTAAAAGAGACAATAAATGGCAGAAAGAAGTAGAAGTTACGGTATATTTCAATTTCTAAAACATTTAAGCTTGTAGTACATTATGAAAAATACGATAAATCAAGAAGACATGGAAAAACCAGGGCAGACTTATCACCATTCCCTAGGGTTTCTAGCTCCCCAGCTGTGAACAGCAGCTGCAGCTCAGGTACCAGTAGACAAGTCGGTAGTGGGTTTTCAAGTAACGCTCACTGGTTCTCAACTCAAATACCTTTCTTAGCAGCCTACGACAACAGCATGGCAATGAGGTTGGCAGGACTGACGAACAGATTTCATTAAAGGAGTGAGAAGTCCATTTATACTCGGTGGCGGGACAAAGAACAGGGAGCTGACCTCTCTGGGTCCAGGTCAGCTCAGAGTAGCAATACACTCCCAGCAAGGCTGGTAGTTTTAAAAGATCACTCCAGAGTTCTCTGACTCTTTCCATCCAGCGGCGAAGGTCTATGTCTCCTTCCCTTTGAATCTGGGCTTTACGATGGGCTGATGGAATATGGAGGAAATGATGTGGTGCCAGGTTTGGGGGCCCAGGTCTTAAGGAACTAGAGGCTTCCTCTTTCTGTTTCTATTTGGAACTTGTTATGGGCTGAATTATGCGCTGCCCCCAAATGTTGGAGCCCCAAGTACATCAGAATGTGATGGTATGTGAAGAGAAGTTCTTTAAAGATGGAAGGTGAAATGAGGCAGTTAAGGTAGAGCCCTAATTCAATAGGACTGATGACCTTATAAGAAGAGGAAGAGACACCAGGGTGGGGCACACACAAAGAAAGAAGTGGGGACAGCGAGAGGACACCCTCTGCAAGCTAAGCCTCCAAATGACATCAACCTTGCCAACACTTTGATTTTGGACTTGCAGCCTCTGGAACTCTGAGGAAATAAACTTCTGTTGGTGAAGCCACCCAGTCTGAGGTATTTGGTTATGGCATAATAACCTAACCACTATGCCACGAGGAAGCCTAAGTGGTCCCACGGAGAGGCGCAGGTAGAAAGGCACCAACAGCAGATGCCAATTAGCCAACCAGAGGAGTGAGTTATCTTGGCAATGGGTTCTCTCGGCAGGTAGAGCCCAACTAATGCTGAGAGTTAAGGGAATGGCTTCCATGGAGAGACAGCAAATGAGTAGTGTATGAAAAAGAAAGAAATGATGAAAACTGTGGGGAGTCTAGACAGATAGTCTACCAGAAAGAGAGAGGACCTGATCTGATAATGAGTCTATCCCAACTGCAGATTGCTAAGAAGGGGGCTACATAGATTGAAAGTTAACCCCCGCCCCCTGCTCCCATCATAGCCTTGGTCCTCATTACCTGCAACTGGGACAGGGGTACAAAAGAGCAGCCTGTCCTCCCTCCACCTTCTTACTTGCTAGAACGCAAAGTGCAAATGTCCCTTTGGCTTTTTGATCTTTATTCTGCCAGTGCCAGTGGCTGCACCCAACAGGCATGGGGAGGAGGTAGAGAGGAGAGAAGTACAAGTAGGCAGGCAGTTTCATAACTGGGATGAGCCTTGGAAATAACCTAATCTGATGCCCTTAATTTAAAGAAGAAATGTCAATGCAGAGAGGTGAGAGGATGTACCACCAAACGGTAGAGTCAGAACTCACCAGCAAGCTCCCTGAACCCAAGTCCAGAGCTCTTTAGACAACACTGTCCTTGAGATACCTACAATTTCTTAAACTTCTTAACATTAAAATATGCAGCTCTGATGATCAGTAGGTCTGGTCACATATATATTTAAAAATGGGTATTTAATACCCAGATGTTGGTGTCTAAGCACTATTCTTTGCTAAGAATCCACAACTGTGAATCCACAGTTGGAGCAAGTAAAGTGCCAGATGAATCTGAAAAATTAGGAAAGATTAATGGGGATGTACCAAGGACATGGAGGGAGCCAGCATGAAGGGGCCAATACTGGCAAATACGGGACAATTTAAGTTTTGGAGACGATAATGAATTGCAACATTTTCGAAGCACAATTTCCTGAGCCCATAAATGATATAAATGAGGGAATAACAAAGTGCAAAGGAGGAAAACCTCTTCCTTACAATAACGCCAACACATAAATGCAGAAAGAATGCTTAAGTCAGGGAATTGCCATTTGACAAACATCATAGTAATAACTGATTCAGGCAAGACTCATTAATGGAAGCTAAAACTAGGGAGTGAAGTTTTAATGAGGAATGGGATAGATACAGGGTTTTGATGAATCTTCCCACAAGACACTGACTCATTACAAAGGGAAGAATAATAATTCCATAGAGAAGCCACTTGCCAGACAGCATCTAGCCAAGTGATCAAAGTTAGTGTCAGAGTAAGAAGACAAGAGGACACTATGCCTCCCACTATGATGCACTAAGGCCCCTAGGTCATGTCTGTGGGACTCTGGCCACAAATGAATAACCTTCATCTATTCACGAGGAAACACATGACCAAAGCAATTTGAGAGATATTGTATAAAAGAATTGGAGTGCACTTGTTAGGGACTGAATATTTGTGTCCCCCCCACCCCCCCGCCGCCCCGGGCCAAATTCATGTTCAACATATGCCCCCAAGGTGGCATTTGGAGATAGGGCCTCTAAGGAAGTAATTAAGGTTAAATGAGGTCATAAATGTGGTGCCATGATCCAGCAGGATTAGTGTCCTTATAAGAACAGACACCTTTCTCGGGACGCCTGGGTGGCTCAGTTGGTTAAGCGGCTGCCTTCGGCTCAGGTCATGATCCCAGCGTCCTGGAATCGAGTCCCACGTCGGGCTCCTTGCTCAGCGGGGAGCTTGCTTCTCCCTCTGCCTCTGCCTACCACTCTGTCTGCCTGTGCTCATGCTCTCTCTCTCTCTCTCTCTCTCTCTAATAAATAAATAAAATCTTTAAAAAAAAAAAAAAGAACAGACACCTTTCTCTTCCCCTTTATTTTCCCCCAGCCCCCCCTGCCCCCCCCCCGCAGAGAGGCCACGTGAGCACACGGCAAGAAAGCAGCCATCTACAACCCAAGGGCAGAGCTCCCACCAGACACCAACCCTGCCGGCACCCTGATCTTGAACTTCTAGTCTCCCAAACTGTGAGAAATAAATGTCTGTTAAGTCGCCCAGTCTAGCCAGAGCAGACGAATGCACTACTTTTTCCAAAAATATCAAGATCATTAAAGACAACCATTTTAGTAGATCAACAAAGGCTAAGAAGACTTGACAACTGTATCCCACATGAATTTATGGAGCAGAGCATGGATCTGTCTGATTTATTTTTTTCCTGCCAAAGACATGACTGAGATACTTCAAGAAATATGGGTAAGGTTTGTAGATTACATGAAAATATCATACCAATATTAGTTTCCTAATTTTAATCGTTGGACGGCGGTTACCTGGAGAGTATCCTCTAACGTATTCAGGGGGTAAAAGACAGTAATATCTGTAATTTACTCTCAGACAGAAAAATAGTGACATGCACACAGAGAAAGCAAATGTTAACTGGTGAATCTTGGGGACTTTCCTGTAAATCTGAAAATATTTTTAAAAAGTAGAAAAAAATGGATATTTTTAAAAGCCAATTACATCATGATAATACTTTCCTGCAAACACTTTTAAGGCTTCCCAGGACACTCGGCCAGAGACCTGCAAGGACCTGCAATAGAGAGAGTGAAAACTCTCTTCTCTACACCTGTTTCACATCAGACCCAGTCCCCTCTTTCACTGCAAACACCTCACACTCATGCCCACCTCAGAGACTTTGCATGTGCTGTTCCCTCTCCCTGGAACTCTTCTCCCTTAACTCCTCCATGCTGGCTCCTTCCCTTCCTAAGGTCTCAGCTCATATGTTCCCTCCTCACAGACAGGCCCCTCCTCTTTCCTTAATGTCACAACTTCTGTTCGTGTATTTACAGTGCTGACTGCAACTGCTTAATTAAGGCTTCTTTTTTTCTTTTTTAAGATTTTATTTATTTATTTGACAGAGATCACAAGTAGGCAGAGAAGCAGGCAGGGGTGGGGGGAAGCAGACTCCCCGCTGAGCAGAGAGCCGGATGTGGGGCTCGATCCCACAATTCTGGGATCATGACCTAAGCCAAAGACAGAGGCTTTAACCCACTGAGCCACCCAGGCGCCCCTAATTAAGGCTTCTTAATTAAGTCTTAAGAATTAAGGCTTAATTCTCTCACAGATCTGGGGGGGGGGGGGGGGGAGTGGAGAAAGGCTGCCAGCCTACTGTGTACTTCACACAAAGCCTGGCACATAGTGGATACTGAACAAATATGGGTTGGATAATGATGAAGTCCATGTTCAAAACCAAATTCACGTCTCCTCTCCATAATCCTGCTCTTCATCCTGTAGTCATCACAATTAGGCAAACGCACTGGCAAGCCTCCCACCACCATGCAGGCTCAGAGCTAGGTCATGAACTGGATACACCCCCTCCCCCAATGATTGGTTCTGGCCTCGACAACCCCTTCATCGCCTCCGTGATTCACATTTCCAAATTCCTGTCATATCTCAGCATCGCAGCTGCCTCTGTTGTAGTTCAGACTCTTAAAATTCCTTGCTGGGGTTGTTATTTTTTAAAGATGTAGAGTGGGGAGGGGCAGTGGGAGAGAGAGACTCTCCAGCCCAGTCCTCGCTGAGCAAGGAGCCAGAAGCTCGGGGCTCCATCCCAGGACCTGGAGCCAAAATCAAGAGCCACACACTCAACCCCACACACGACCTGCCACGTAAGTGGTGGTAGAGGAACGCATATTGAATGAGCGAGTGAATGAGCAAAACTCTGAGGACAGAATGGGAACGATGTATGTGGAAAACATGATCAAGAATGTAAGAATTGTTAAGCGCTGTAGAAGTTCCACCTTTGTGTTCTGTTGCAGTGCCTAGACCCGACACTAGGGGGAGCTCAGGAACTATGTACGCAGCGGTGGAAAAAGACTCCAGGAGGTCAAACCTACAACCAGTTGGTCTAGTATACTCTCGCTGAAGGTCAGGGTAAACCTGTTTGTTCATTTGTCATTCATTCAGCAAGTATAATGCTGACTGTGCCAAGCGCTGTGCCCGGAGCCTGGAGGGCTACACCCGCTCGTTACTCCATGTACTCTCTTGTACCAAACTCCTGAGACTAGAAATGTAACCTAAACTCTCATCAGTTACCGGAGTGCATGCATAGAAAAGGAAGGGTCCTTACTTCGCGACTGCTAGAATAGGACTTCGCTTTCTCTTCACAATGGTGGAGTTTCTCTCGAGGAGGTTGGAATAGCGCTGTCTGAGGCAGCTTGTTTTGGATCTTCTTTCTAGGCGTTATGCTGACAGCAGCAACAATTTCATCTAGGTGACTGGATATAGGGGTTTCCTTTGATTCTTGCATATTTTTATATACATTGTCCTCTAAATAAGAAAATAAAGGTGTTAAATGGTAATTTCCATATTTACTTAGACAAATATACATTTTTCGAAACTGATGCTAAATCTAGGAAAATTCCAACACTCTACCCATGAGTTCTTTGAAATTAGTAGCACTCCATCCAAAAATATCCTGACAAGTAGTACTAACTTCTTTTAAAACTATCAGGCTGATTTCCAATTTTAACTAAATCAAACATTCCTTGTTCATTAAAATATACATATTTATACATGTATTTTATATATGTATATACAGGAGAAATCAAGCAAGCCCAAACAACTCTCAAAGAACCCAGATTATATCCCCTGAACCCCAACTGACTTTGAAGCAGTGAAACAATGACTTTAATAAGGAATAACTTATTAATAATAAGTTATTATTATTTAATAACTTTTATTTCTAGTCAAGATGGGGCAATAGGGACAAGATTTATTCTCTTGCCTGAAATAGCCAACCAACCAACACACACACACACACACACACACACACACAAACAGACAAAGACGTTATGGAACAATGGTTTTCAAGAGATAGGATATCAGATGTGATCACGGAAAAAAGAAACAAAGTGAGACCCATGATTACCCCAGCTTATTGCTTTGAGAAAGTTTCTAGGACATACAAGGAGCAGAAACACAGAAGTAACCACGTAGATTCTCTGAGTTGAGAAAACTAGAGCTGAGGACCTGGGGAGAATAGGTAGCTAGAGTTCATAGGATAGATTACTGGAGAGGCTAGAGATGCACAGAGGATCCTGTGATTAGCAGAGGGATCCTTATAACATGGAGAGAAAATACTGATCGGCATGTGTATAAGAAAAATATTTGAGTCTGGGAAAAGAATCCTAATAATATTGAAGGGAACAGTGTCTGGCATTCACACAGGGCTGGCAATGCCTGTTCCCACCAAACAGACTGGAAAACTCATAATTCATAATGCATTGGGTAAAGCACTCAGAAAGGTTCTGTTTCCGTAGTGTGAAATTACTACCCCTAGACTGAGCACTGCTTAGACTCACCTAACAAAGCATAACAATAAGACCTAGAAGGATCAGCCTATTTCTAAGTAACTTAACTGCCCCAGAAGACAAAACTCAAGGATGTATAGGACATACAAATAGCTAGCATGCAACAAGGTAAAATTCACAAAATTTGACATCTAATCAAAGATTACTAGGCATGCAAAGGGACAGGCAAACCTGGGCCATAATGAGAACAATAATGAATCACTCAAAACCCAGAATTGACACAGATGTTAAATTAGTAGAAAAGTAGAAAAGTATTAAAGTAGTTATTATAATTGTATTCCATATGCTTAAACAGTTAAGTGGAGACACAGAAAATATTTTAAAAGGCTGAAATTCAACTTCTAGATATGAAAATTACATGTGAGATGGAAAATAGACTAGATGGGATTAATGACAGATTAGATATTACAGAAGAAAAGATGACTGAACTTATAGATTTAGCAATAAAAACGATCTAAAAAATCATAAGCTATAAAACAACTTCAAATTGCCTAATATATATAATTTGAGTCTCTATAGGAAAGCAGACTGTAGCAGGGACAGAAAAAATATTTGAAGAAATAACAGCTCCAAATTTTCCAGACTTTAGGAAAAGCAAAAATCTGGAGATCCAAGAAGTTCAATGAGCATTACACACAAGAAACAGAGAAAACTACACCAAAACACAGCATAACCAAATTCCTTAAAACCAACGTAGAGAGAAAAATCTTAAACATAGGAGGAAAACATATTAGTAAGAAAAAATAAATATATAGATGACAGCAGATTTCTTGGGGGAAAAAAAGCACATGAGAAGGGAGCAAAACAACATACTTACAGTATGGAAAGAAAAAAAGTTGTCAAGCTAAAATTCTGCACCAGTGAAAAGATATCTTTCAAAACCAAAAACTGAAAGAATTAATCATCAGCAGATTTGCACTCCAATGTTCTCCAAGAATTATTAAAGGAAGACTTTCAGAAAGAAGGAACATGGTAGCAAATGGAAATCTAGGTCTACACAAAGGAATGAAGACAATGGGAATGATACTTACATGGGCAAATATGTAAGACTCTTTTCATATTACTTAAATGTCTTTAAAAGATAATCAACTTCTTTTTTTTTTAACAAAAAATAATGTACTGTGGGACTTGTAACATATGTATAAGTGAAATGTATAACAGTAGCATAAAGGCTAGGAAGGAAGGAATGGAATTGTCAAATTCTTACACTCTATGTGGAGTGGTATAATATTAATTGAAGGTAGACCTAGTCAAAGATGTATAGTATAAACCCCAAGTAACCATTAAAATAACCAAATAAAGAATTTTAGGTAATAAGCCAGCAAAGGAGATAAAAGGACTCATAAAAACAACCCAGTAGAAACTAGAAAAAAGTAGGGAAAGAGAAAAAAGAACATATGGGACAAATAGAAAATAAATAGCAAGATGACAGACTTAACTCTAACTGTATCAGCAATCACATTAAATGTAAATGGTCTAAACACCCCACTTAGGAGATAGACATCGAGAGACTGGATAAAAATGTAAAACCCAACTGTATGTTGCCTATAAGAAATTCATTTCAAATAGAGAAAGACAATTAGATTAAAGGTTAAGTGATGGAAAATTATATACTAAAATTAGTCAAAAACAAAGTTGGATTGTCTCTATTAATATTAAAGTAAATTGTACAGCCAAGAATATTATCAGAAAAAAAGGTCATTTTATAGATATAAAAGGTCAATCAGTCATGAAGACATAATCATTCTAAGTGTTTATACACTTAATAACAGTTTTGAAATAGGACACCCCAAACTTATGGACTTGCAAGGAGAAACAGACAAATCCTCAATTAGAGTCTGAGATTTAAATACCTTGCTCTTAATAATTGATACACTAAATAGGCAGAAAGTCAGTTAAGGATACATAAGACATGAACTACATCATAAACCAACTTGATTTGACATTTACTAGAACACTCTACTCAAGGAGAGTAGAACAACACTCTTTTCAAGTGCACATAGACATTAACTAAGGTTCTATTCTGGGTCATAAAACAAGTTTCAGTAAATTTATGAGGATTTAAGACATACAAAATATATTGTATGACTACAATGGGATTAAACTTTAAGTCAATAACAGAAAGATACCTGGAAAATGCTCAAGTATTTGGAAACTAAACAACACGCTTCTTAAAAAAAAAAAAAATCCAACAATGGTTTAAAGAAGAAATCAAAAAAGAAATTTGAAAGTAGTTTTAACTGAATGAATACAAACACAACACATAAGAATTTGGGAATGCCACTAAAGCAGTCCTTATGGAGGATTTTTGACATTAAAGGCATATATAAGTAGAAAGTTCTCGAGTTCATGACCTTAGCTTTTACCTTCGGCAACTAGAAAAAAAGAGCAAAGTAAGTTCAAAGTAAACAGAAGAAAGGCATAAAGTAAATAATAAAGCTCACCTCACAAATCCATGAAATAAACATAGAAAAAACAAGAGAGAAAAAGCAATGAAACCAAAATTTGGTTCTTTGAGACCAATCACATCGATTAAATGTCTACCCGGACTAATCAGAAAAGAAGGAGAGAAGACACAAATCACCAATATCATGAATGAGAGCGATGTCATCACTATAGATTCTATAATTATTGTATGTTTAATACAGGAGTGTTATGAAAATTTTATGCCAATACATCTGACAACTTAGATGAATGGACAAATTCTTTTAAAGATACAAAATACTAAAGCTCACTCAAGAAAAAACAGATACCTGAATAGCACTATATTTATTAAAGAAACCGAATTTGGGGGGAGTCAAGATGGCGGAGAAGTAGCAGGCTGAGACTACTTTGGGTAGCAGGAGATCAGCTAGATAGCTTATCTAAAGATTGCAAACGCCTACAAATCCAACGGGAGATCGAAGAGAAGAACAGCAACCCTAGAAACAGAAAATCAACCACTTTCTGAAAGGTAGGACTGGCGGAGAAGTGAATCCAAAGCGACGGGAAGATAGACCGCGGGGGGAGGGGCCGGCTCCCGGCAAGCGGTGGAGCAACGGAGCACAAAATCAGGACTTTTAAAAGTCTGTTCCGCTGAGGGACATCGCTCCAGAGGCTTAACCGGGGTGAAGCCCACGCAGGGTCAGTGTGGCCTCAGGTCCCGCAGGGTCACAGAAGGATCAGGGGTGTCTGAGTGTCGCAGAGCTTACAGGTATTAGAACGGGGAAGCCGGCTACAGAGACAGAGCCGAGGAGTGAGCTCTAAGCTCGGGGTTACCTTGAACCGGTCGCAGGCTCGGTCAGCTCGGAGCGCGGCCAGAGGCCAGGGTGACGGGAGTAATTAGGCGCTGTTCTCTGAGGGCACACTGAGGAGTGGGGCCCCGGGCTCTCGGCTCCTCCGGGCCGGAGACTGAGAGGTCGCCATCTTCATTCCCGCCCTCCGGAACTCTACGGAAAGCGCTCAGGGAACAAAAGCTCCCGAAAGCAAACCCGAGCGGATTACTCAGCCCGGCCTGGGTAAGGGCGGTGCAACTCCGCCCGGGGCAAAGACACTTGAAAATCACTACAACAGGCCCCTCCCCCAGAAGATCAACAAGAAGCCCAGCCAGGACCAAGTTCACATACCAAGGAGTGCAGGTTCAATACCAAGGAGAGCGGCGGAATTCCAAAGGAGGAGAAAGCAAAGCACGGAACTCATGGCTTTCTCCCCATGATTCTTTAGCCTTGCAGTTAATTTAATTTTTTTTTCTTTTTCAATTGTTTTTTCTCTTCTTCTGCTAATTTTTTTTAACTTTTACCCTTTTCTTTTTTAACGTTTTTTAAGTATTTTATCTAATATATATATATTTTTTTTCCTTTTTATATTTTTTTCTTTATTGGTTTTCTTTTTTTAATTGTTTCTTTCTTTTTTTTTTCTTTCTGAACCTCTTTTTATCCCCTTTCTCCCCCCTCACGATTTGAGATCCTTCTGATTTGG